GACCCCTTCGTCTTACCTTTTTGCATTCATTTCTTTGCGAGCGAAGCCCCAACAGGTACCCTTGTGACAATTGAAAAGGTGGGCATTTCCTGTTTACCCACGCAAAGGTTCGGAACCTTGCACTTTAGTAGGGCATTTCCTGTTTACCCACATGAAGGTTCAGAACCTTGCACTTCAGTAAGGACTTGCTGCCGAAAATCTGTGACAAATAAGGAAGGATATTTGAACAAACGGATTTATACATATGGGTGTTTCTAAAGCAGTCAATAGTTTTGAACAACCCGCATGTGCACGCAACGGCCAGGACTGTGCAAGGAAAGGGGGGTAGTCTTTGAGGAGGACCAACAGAAAGTACCTGAGGACATTTTTGAGAATTCTACCGCTGGCTCAAGGTGCCGGAAAACAGCAGTATGTATAGTTGGAATTGGGATATAAAAAATGAGTTGTGGTCCACTAAAGAATAACCAAAGCGCCTTTGGACCCCCATGGCCCAAGTATGGAAGGCTGAGGGCACAAGAGCCCTTACTCTATATTCTTCTCTCCATCAGACCTCTCGCTGCCTACTTACATATATCAGCATGGAGAACTCGTCCAGATGTCTGAATATTCCACTGGGGATGGGCCTAACCCCGGGTGAAGGACGGAAGGGACGAAGGGATAGCTCCTACCAAGACCGGCTCTGGGTGACAAGAGCCCACTTTCTTTGTGTGATTGAAAGAATTCTCACGTAAAGGTCTCCGACAATCCCAAACAGCTCGGTCACTGGCTAGGGCTCATTAGCAGCCGTACCTCTTTGGGTTTCAGCTGATAACCTACTTGTTACAAGCTGATGTCTGCTGATAACCTACTTGTTACAAGCCGATGTCTGCGGATCGTTCGCTTAGAGGTGTTCCAGCACATAGTGATTTCAGCTGATGGCCAGTGTTTATTGACCCAGCGGGCACTGGGGGAAAGAATGACTTGAACGCTGGGAGAAGCTGGGAAAACCTAGGCATCCGCTTACATCCCCTCTCGCTTCTTTCACAGTTAACCCACCTTGACATCTGCCTATTTAACCTGTTTTGGCCACAGAATGTTTAAGCTGGTTGTAACTAGTAACTCCAAAAGAAGTAATCATTAGCTAAGTGAAAGGCTCAATGCTGATCACCACGCAATCTGAGATGTGAAAGCAACGTTATGCCTCAGAAGTTGCTTATATTCGTTTTCGCTGACAAAATTGTCATGTTTTCAACGCAGAGCGCTGGAAATGGAGCCTTTCAGGCAGGGAAACATGCAGAAGCAGTTGAGCACTATTCGGCAGCCTTAGCTTGCAATGCACCATGCCGTCCATTCAATGCCGTCTGCTTTTGCAATCGAGCTGCAGCATCCCAGGTGCGGTTGTGATATTTCCATTCCCTAACACTGGGAACATACTAGGATTTCATTTTGCCAGCTGAATGAAAGTTATGCGTTTTTGGATCTGTCCCCAGCCATCTTCTTTTGGGGTGATTTTCAGGTTCTGTTTTTGTTAGAGTGTGTGATGCTGTGTGTGTGTGTGTGTGTGTGTGTGAGAGAGAGAGAGAGAGAGGGGGGGGGAGAGAGTGAGAGAAAGGTTCCTGGAGAGGGCTGTTATTTGCTAACAGGAATAATTGGAGACCGATTCAGGTAGCTTCGCAATATCTACTCACTCTGTTTGTTTGTGCTGTTGATGCTCTTATGCCATGTGGCTTTGGGTCACGTGGAAGGATCTTTTGTGACGCAACTGACGCAAGCGTGTGCGAATGTTAAATGAAGAAGGAAACTGATGGGAAAGGAAGTAGAAAGCTTATCTGCTGATGCTCACATTGTCTGCAGTCGTAGTATTGAAGGAAAGAGGATGACAGAGCAGCAGGGATGAATGATAGGAATCAGGAAACTGAATGTGTTAATGTCAGACAAGGTCCTTAAGTTCACCTGCACTCTACCAACCAGTGACCCATTCTTGTGGTACTGGGCATCGCTCCGCTACACATCACTCTACATCCATTTGCATTCTTTCTGGAACGCATACATTCCGAATGTTGGGTTTGTCCCAATGCATCTGGTTGGGAATGCATCCAATTGCATGCAGTGTGATGTGTAGTGGAGCGAGGTCCACTGTTTCCCTTTTATCACCATACAGTTCATGCTCAAAGAACCTGTGTATTCGTCTGTATGAACTTTCAAGTGGATTAAACAGTGCCCTGTGGAATGTTCGTTTCTTGTAATTGTGTTCTTCAGGCCCTTGGGCACATTGCTGACGCAATTGCTGACTGTAGTCGAGCTATTGCATTAGACCCGAAATATGCAAAGGTAAGTCGACATCTGTCCTCAGCATTGTTGCATGTCCAGCTTGTGAGGATTTTTCAGGCTTTCTACTTTTTGCGGTTCCTGGTGGTTGGGGGGCGCACCAGTCATTTGATCCAATTTAGGGTGGGGGGCATACCAGTCAGCTCTGTGCTAATAGGACTCCGAAGAATTCTGCAGTGGAACTTGAGAGTTGTGGCCTATGCTAGCCATGGATTGTCTTTCATACCCTTGAGCGCTCTGAAGAACTTTTCCAGCCTTTGTGAACAAAGAATCATTGGCATATTTTACTAGGATAACTCGGCCTTCAGTCACCTGTTGCTGAGCGCACTTATTCAAAGCATGCTCCATGCCATGCGAAGTGGCACGACACTTTGTCTACTTACCATTCTAAGTGGATTGCTGGATTACTCAACGATAGGAGTATCTAAAAGGCTGTCGTGGATGGTGAGTTGCTGCCATCTATAGACAAATTCTTCTACAGTGGGCTGCAGTCTGACCGGAACTGCTAACAGGGGTGGTGCTTTGAGCCGGATGCAACTATGCCGGTCTTGTAAGGACTTCCAAAAAGCCACTCTGCGTTTGGAGTGGAGTATTGCACGGTGCTCGACCACGCCAGACATTAGACCTCGGCACAGTACTCTGGAAACGAACAAAAGGTCACTGGCCACAATCCCTCCTACTGTATACATGACCTCCAAATTCCCCAAGTGTGCCATTCCGACGCTGTGCTTTTGTTTTTTTGAAAAATTACAAGCCTGTCCTATTCGAAAGTGCCATTGCCGTGCCTCTGAGCCCACACTGCACCCTCCACACAGGGTATTCAGTGCCAATTCCAGAATGCAGTGTAGCAAGGCATGCCAAATATGGGAAATTGAACCCGAATCCTTGAAAATTCGATAATTTGTGGCTTTCAGCATACTCGTTACTCCTTTTCCCTTTGTGATTTGTGAGCTGCCCATTGGACTTTTTTTTGCGTAGGAACAGCTCTTCAAAGGGTCTCCATTCATCTCCAGGTCTGTCATTGCGTCGCTGCTGCGTTTTCTCATCTCTTGAATTTCTACTGTTTGTACACTACCAGGGAACACCCACCAACCTATATCCCTCCCTAACCTATGGGGTAGGTTGTATCTTAGTGTTGGCGCGAGAGTGAAGCTGTCCTAGCCCATTGTCGTGGTGATGCGGAGATGGGCAGGCGTCGTCATGGTGATGTGGGGATGGGCATCGCTGGTGGGAGAATACCAGCAGTGCTAGGGGGCCGTTTGAGGAGGC